CACTTAGTCCCTTTTTACTTCTTTTAGCGCTCATTTTACAATTAACGTACTTTAAGAGGTAAAAGGATCAAAACAATGTCAATTAACAAACAAAAAGGTATATGCTTGTAATGTGAGTGCCAACTAAAAGTCTATAGGCTCAAAAAGGTTAACTAAGGATAAATTTTATTTGTGATAAGCAATAAGCTCAAAAAGATTAAAGAAAGCCTAAAATCATTTTTCAAACCGAGCATCACCTAAAATTTTGCTTCAACTCATATACCGGGCAAGTTATAGACCCAATCACAAAAACATGGACTACATAAAAACCTCATCACACATGGCACATGACTCACTAAGGACGGTCCCATTTCGACTCTCAAACAATGCAAGTATTCACGGAGCCACGAGATATTAATTATTAAGTGCAAAGTGAACACAAGTCAAGAAAACGAGACATAGGCGTCACAAAACATGTTATCCAACTAAGCAAGGCATCGTCAATAATTTCAAATCATAGGGAAGATACTACAAATGTCAAAGCCTAAATATATTACTATCAAACAAGTCAAGGGCGCCTAGGTTCATCATTCTTCCTCCTTTTTATTTCCTAAATTTCTAATCTACTCTAAAAGAAAAAACTACCCGGTTCAAACTACATCCCATGAAAAAGAACTGAGGTACAAAAAAAAACCACGGGGGATTATTGCTACCTATGAAAAACTAAAAGAAACATTTTTTTGTTTATCTTATTTTGCAATTTTTTTGTTTAGACTTTAATCCCCCCCAAAAAATTGTCTAGGAGATTCATCGTCAGGAAAAGTCCAATATTTTCAAAAAAAAATTATTTATTTTTCTGATTTTTTTAATTTTTAAATTAGGCTACTAAACTACTACTATACTACACCATTAATTCTAATAACTGTGTAATTAAAAATAAAAAGCTAGCTAACAATAAAAAAATAAAAAAAACTAACAATATACTATTATAATACTATACAAAGCACAGAGAATCTTCCACCCCCACACTTAAAAGAGTGCAGTGTCTCCAATGCATAAATAAAGTAAAAATAACAAGGGTGGATAAGAAACTCCCTGAAAGACCAAAGGCCGAAGCAATAGCAGCTCACAGGGTACTCAGACTTCTCCCAAGGATGGTCCTTTGTGCGGGTATCTCACACTAGTTCCAACCATCTGGTTCGCTTTTGCACACTTCCAGTGACTTTTCTTCCTATGATCATAATCCTACAAAATAAAACAACACTACAATAATAATAATAAAAATAAAATAAACAAAAATAAAATAAAGCAGTAAAGCTGGGTTGCCTCCCAACAAGCGCCTAATTTAACGTCGTGGCACGACGCGAACTACTTTTTTCTCCATCTTGAACTTATCAATTGTACTCCTAACATAGCATCCAGTCTGCGGCTATGCTCAAGTGGTGGGGCTACAAAGATAACCAAGCCAAGTAATAAATTTTTTACTCTGCACTTCTCGGCCTTTAGATGAGGAATGTAATTTTTATTTTTCGGCACATCAAATTCAAAAATATAGGCACTCTCATCCTCACTCTTTGACTCCCCCATAGGCTCAGAAAGATCGATTACTATCTCACTATCTAAACACCATGTGGAAAAATGATTGGAGTGAGATCTAATGCGCCCTAACTCATGAATTGTACTACTATTTACATCACCGTATATACATACACTCAAGTCTCCCAAATTAATCTTATCCACTCCCTCATATGATTCTAGAGCACTCTTCTCAACATTGGCATCATCAAGAAAAATATGGCCTAATGATTGGTATTCTTGTTTTAGCTACTCAATTTGATCTAGAAGATTTTTTTCAGCTTCACACAACTCATCATTAAATTATTGGGCATTACACGTATCAACCTTTGCACTGCATCCAAATTATGCACAATCAAGCCAAAATTTTCAATTTTATGTGCAAGTTCATCTCTCTCCTTAGACCAGTCACTCACCAACGTTGTTAGAAGACAACGTCGTTTTGCATATTCCCTTAATCGAGAATATCTGTCCCAATACCAACCCTTAGTCCCATATTCAAATTCAGACCTCCCAGAGTTCAGGTCATGACAAGCCCAAAAAGACGGGCCATAAAAGTCTTCCGTCAACCAAGCGTCTTCATCAATAACCTTACTTCCGTATATTTCATCCCTATATGTCATGTTGAGAGAACTAGAAACATACTAAGAGAAAGATCAAATTGTTATAAAAATAAAAATATTTACAAAAAGGAAAATAAACTTGTAAACATTTACGTAAAAGTCTAATCTAGAAAATAAGCTAATTCTAAGTCCCCGACAACGGTGCCAAAAACTTATTGTGGCCAAACGCACACGCAAGTATACGCGGTCGTCAAGTAATAAAGTGACTACAAGTCGGATGTCGAACCCACGAGGACTTGTGATTAATTATTAACTAAATTAGACTATCCTAATTATCTAAATAAGAATTAAACATAGAAGTATATGACTCTAATCTAATTAAAATAAAAAGAAAACAAATAATGAACTCTGAACAAAGGAAGAGTAGATTTTTATGTTATCAATGTGATGAAAATAATCTAGGGTTATGAGATATCTAACACTCCTATTGTATTCTTCAATTAAATTGACTAACTAATTTATCTAGCTTATTGGTTGACGTGGTTAATTTACTCATAAGAATCTGTCGAGTTCTTACTCGGCTGTTCAAGCTAACCTAACGCCTATATGTCTATGGAATTAGAACTAACAAGAACGCATTTATAATTCCTGTACATCAACCAAGCAAGGCAATTAGGTCTATGTTTATCCTAACAGCAAATCCGTTCCCCGATTCTCAGGATCAAGAACTTGCTCTACTCAATCCTATATGCAATCTAGAATTTCCACTTTCGAGTTCAATGCTAGATTCGTAGATAATATTCAATTGGTGATCAAACAATCAAATAATTAGGCGCAAGATTGAATAAATAAACTAATATGATAAATCAAGAAAGCAAAATCAATATTCCAATAACAATAATCATGAAAGAACCATAACTCAAGAACGTGAAGTTTAGCTCCACATAGACATGGTAGTCAAACAACAAATCATACAAAGAAACATAAAAATTACAATGTTTGGTGGAAGAGAAGATGAAACTCGGCTGCCACGACAACTCTGTGCTTTTCCTTCGTCAAAAGTTCCTCTCAAAAACCTTCCCCCCTCCAAAATAGGTTTAGGACCCCTTTTATACGAGTTAGGAGTGTGTAGGGCCGAAATAACCAAGTCCCGGACGAAATAGGACTAGTCCCTGTTTCGAGCGTCCAGGGCAGCGCCTCGCGCTGGCCCTGACACTAAATCCAGTAAGTTTTTGCACGCTCAATTCCTTCTTAGCTTTCAATTGAATTGCCCTTCCCTTTTGTCTTACATTCGGGGGACAAACACCAAACGGTGTCCCCCTTTGTCACCTTATTTTATTCTTTTATTTTTCTTTCTTTTTGTTTCGGTTTATTCATTTTTGCTCCAAATCTTTTCATTTTCACATCGCTTTATTCCTACTCAATTAAAATATAATATTAAGCATAAAGTAATTTAATTAACACTCAAAAGACAACTAAGTAGTAGAATATGAGGCAATAATAGGTAAATATATGCATTATTGGCCGAATATCACTTTCTTTCATGATTTGTTTCTCTTTCGTATATCTATGATTCCGCTTATTTTGCTTGAAGAGAGAGAGAGAGAAAGAAGAAAAATTCTGAGAGAGAATCGTGTGTTAATTGAAAGAAAGAGAGAAGAAAAACATAAATAGCGTATTTCATGTTTTATTTCATGCCTCAATGGTAGTATATACCATAAATACTTATTTTGCTATAAAATATAAAAGGTAGCTATAGAAAATAATATTTTAAAATAATTTTAATTTATAATAAATAATGTGTATACATTTATTAACAATTTTGAGGAAAGAGCCAACTAATAACATTATGATACAAATTGTGATATCTTAATTTCTATTACAACTTAAACAATAGTAAAAGTCATTGATTAACTATCTTCATATATAAAAATAATTTAATTATGATGAATCCTTATAATATTTTAGAGAAAGATCTTAATAGAACGAAATGAACTTAAATGATAGGATAGTATAAAGATTATCAATAGTAGATGTTATCAAATGTTACCCTGGGTTTACTCTTCAGAGCATAAACTTTGCAGAGACTTTTAATTTTTAATCATTTTAAGCATATGATTTCAAAAGTAGCTAGGTGAAAGTATTATGTTTTATACTGATCTTTCTTGTTAAAATATTCATTATTTTCTGAGTTTGAAAACCATTTTTTGTTTCCCGTTCAGTGTTGGATAAAATTCCCGATCGAGTTTTACTTGTGAAATTTGAAACTCCATGACAATCACTATTTCTTAATAACATGGCTAAAAAGTAGCTAGTCTGTGCTATTACTACCGCGGTGTCTGATATCTGCATTGAGGCTCCCGACTAATCCGAATTCGCACTGCAAAGGTCACATGAACCATTCTTTTTCTTTATTTCCTTTTTCTTCATTGCAAAATTTCAAAATGAATATAAAAGAATATTAATATAAAGTCCATATGTAATCTATGCATGCCTGCAACTCTTGCTTATTTGCTTCATTAGGATTTGTAGTGTCATCTTCAAAGTTAAAGTTTTTGTTCTCTTTTGCGGGATATACTCTCAGTTTTCCTTGCTATCGTATTGACAAGCCTTTTGCAAATTTGAGATTTAAAGTCAGTAAGATGTTAGATATATGCATTTAATGTTTCTTGGTGCATAAATATACATAATTCTAGACGAAACAATCTGTTCAATAGGACTAAGAGAACTTTCTCTAAATTCGTCTCTATTAGGGGCNTATATATAGTCATGTTAATTCAACCCATCTTAATCAAGTGAATATTGTGATCGGACAATGACTCATTTAATAAATCAGCATCTTGACCGGCCCAAATACCTCCCATTTGCCCGTAAGGAAAGAGAACAGAGCATTTTGCTTGAGTTCTCGCTACAATGAATAAACTTGGCATTCTGCCCCTCCATTACAGTAGCTTCCAAGAGAATTCAAAGCCATTTAAGGTGAATTTCCATCAACTTTTATGAGTTGAATTTAGTCTTTAATTCTGTATTTAACACCCAAACACCGTTAGAATTTATATTTGTCAAGAAATTCTTCAAGAACTCAGAAAGGGGAAAAAGCTAAAGTTTTTCAAATAAGGTAACACCACTACCCTAAACTTATGATTTGTGTATAAATAAACTTGTGGATGATGGGGTTGAGTAGGAAATGAGATTTAATTATGTTATTGAGCAAACCTTAGAATGGGTGTTCTTGAATTGATAGAACTTGGGGAAGAAGACGATGAATAGTACCTATTGTGCTGAATACTATTCTTAATAGTCTTGTTAGCTTATGAATCATCGAGTATTGAATTATCAAGCATGAGTTATGAAAGAGTTGATGTTTCAGATGGAAGGGAGGCCTATAGTCATTTTATGAATTCTAATCTAGTTGAGATGGATTTCGTTGAGCTCAAATTCATAGCAATTGATTATAATTGAATAGATTGAGTTGACTCGGACAAAGCAAGGTAAGTTAAGATGTACCTTCCTCTAAGGAGTTTTTGCTAAATTGCTACATCTTATCAAAGTGGGCATTATCTTAGTCTCAGATATGCTTACTATGTTTAATGCTTCACAACTTAGTTTTCAGATGTTTTGCATTTAAATACTAATTGTTTCTTTTAGATGCACTTACAAATATTGATGTTATTTTGCTAAACTACAAGTATCCCAGAGTTTTAAAGACATCGCTCAAAAACCTTTTTGGGAGGAGTCAATGATACTTACGGGATATGTATTCTATGAAATTGTGCTCAGTTTCCTACATGGGGCGACTTACTTGATGTTTCAGATATTGTGTTGACAGCACGAGCTAGGCGTCTCCTCCAATATGTGCTTATACTTTGGTGAGCCCCACTTCTTTTATCGGTGGGTGCATTTCTAGAAATTTATTATATTCATTATGTCCATAGAGTTTCCAGTGACATTGTTGGGGGTGTAGTCATGTAGATGGAATTTATGTTCTTAACTCGTGTTCATTTCACACCTATGTATTTTGGTCAAAGAGCTAATTTTATTTTGAGTTGAAATAAAGTCTTTTAACTAAACTATTCAATGGGAATGGGGTATTTCAAATATGTAAGTTATATTTTAAACCTTGAAATAATCATGAATGGGTAGACAAGTTCAAGTGGTTCGCTCAGTGTAGTTGAAGGCAGTGGGTGCCAGTTGCGCTATTCTTTTTGGGGCGTGACACGGATGTTTCTTGTTAACTGATGCACTTGAAGTTGAGCCTCCCGAGTATACTTTAGCGATGTTTTTTAATAAAAACTTGAATAGGACAAGAGGTCCTAAAGTTCCACGCATCTTTGTTCTTTTTCTCCAGCATCTTGCGCCATTTCAAGTCTTCTACTTATCTTTGACTTTGAGTGCCTGTTTTTCAAGGTATCATGGATGGAGAAACCAAGAATCAGAAGTGTCAATCTGATCAAGCTTCCCCCAGATATGGATTTAATTGCTTACCTCAAGAAATTGTTATTGACATAGCTTCCCGACTTCCCATAACATCTTTAGTCCCATTCAAGTTTGCTTGCAAGTCATTTCACAACTTGTTACATGATAAAAAGCTTGTGAATTTGCACCTGTCTCGTGTGGCAAAGAACGATCCTTGCATTATTTTTCACACAGATAATCCTTTAAGGAAACGACTCTACTTTCTTGAATTTTCAGATCATGGTCGGGAAGAGGTTGTGAGGAAAATCAGCACCCCTTTTGCAAACTCTGTGCCTGAATTTAAGGTGGTCGACTCATGTAACGGACTATTGTGCATATGTACTTCTGCGTATAGTGATTCACTTTATGTGTACAATCCTTTTACAAGAGACTACAAAGAGCTACCTGAGACGGTAGAATTTGGTGTGCAGAAAATGATTTTTGGATTTGGTTTTCATCCTGTTACCAAAGAGTACAAGGTGATCAAGATCATAAATTGTGCCAATATGTATTTTAATGACCACTGGCGCTATCGTAGATTCAGGGTTCCCTACACTGGTAAATCAGATATTCAAGTACTTAGTCTTGGTAGCAACAGATGGAGAAGTATAGGGGAAGTTGATTACCGTATTGATCCAAGTTCTCAAGGAATTATGTTAAATGGCAAGATGCATTGGTTTACTCGATTTGGGATGTATTATGGACATCGTGACAGGATCATCGTTTCCTTTGATTTAGCTGATGAAGTATTTGGAGAGGTGCCAAAAAATGATTTTGATGTAAAGCCAAGAATTGGCAACTTTCATCTAGCAGTTCTTGGAGATTGTCTTGCTGTTGCTCTAACTTTGCCTCGCCAAAATGGTGGAGGAATAGAAATTTGGGTAATGAAAGAATACAATGTGAAAGAGTCTTGGGTGAAGGAGTTCATATTTGGAGCTTATACACCAACTCCAAATTTCGTCACTCAATATTTGCAACCATTGGTGAAAGTTCTATGCATGTTAAAGAATGGACAACTATTGCTCGAGTACAAAGGCGGCAATTTGGTTTTATATGATCCTCAAAATGGTGTCTTTAGGACACTAAAGTTTCAGGGGATGCCTAATTTGTTTCAGACATATGTTCATGTGGGTTGCCTTAATTGGATTGATATCTCACCTGCAGATCTTTTACAAAATTAGTTCATCAAACTTATTTATACCTTCTTATTGAAAAACTGTCACATATGCTTAAACATATTTAGCATGTCCGGCTCTCTCCTGACTATGATTTGGACCTTTCGCCTGCTTAGAAGTGGATTCAAAACACTGACACATGGATTTTCAGTCCTTTGCTGTTCTCTAAATGCTATTTTCCTAAGTTCTTCTTGGATACAAGCCATGTGCCATAGAATCGTCTCAGTTTCCTACATTGTGATTTATAACATAGCGCTGCAGAGTGCCGGTCAATTATGTTGAATAGAGGTACAGATAAATGGAAAGATGTGAACTATCACCATTTGTATGATAACGTTTAGTTTTGTAGTTGCTACTTGAAGCATGTTTCTGTTCTGTCAAAAGAATGACATTTATTAATAGTCCTTTCACTTGATCATACAGAAGTATAAATACTCAAAATATTAACTCAAGAGTCTTGGACATAATTAACAACGTAGACTAAATGCATTACAACTTCCTAAAAGTCTCTTGAAAGAACTAAAGGACATTCGGAGAAATGCAAAGTTATAAACTAGTACCATGATATGCATCATTTCCAAAGAAATGCAGTAATTCCAACAGACATCCAAAAGAACATGCTCATTTGTTTACCGACTATAAGAATTACCTGACTTCCTAAGAGTCCAGGCATCCATTTCCAAGTTTGTATACTTATCATTGTATAACTATTTTTTGTGTGTGTCAATCTGATGAACCTCCCCCTAGATATGGATTCGATTGCCTACCTCAAGAACTTGTCCTCGACATAGCTTCTAGGCTTCCCATAACATCTTTAGTCCAATTCAAGTTTGTTCGCAAATCATTTTACATCTTGTCTCATGATCCAGAGCTTGTGAATTTTCACCTGTCTCGGGCAGTAAGAACGATCCTTGCATTATTTTTCTCCTGTTTAATCGGCTTTACTTTCTCGAATTTTCTGATCATGGTAGTGAAGAAGCGATTGTGAGGAAGATCAGCACCCCTTTTGCAAACTCTGCCTGAATTTAAAGTGGTTGGTTCATGTCATGGATTATTGTGCATATGTCATTCTCTATTTAGTAATGAACTTTATGTGTGTAATCCTTTTACAAGGGACTACAAAGAGCTGCCTAAATCAGTAGAATTTGAGGTGCAAAAATTGGTTCTTGGATTTGTTTTTCATCCTATTACAAGATTGGATAGGCACCACTTACCGCGGCCAGACCTGTTTCAACAGCAATAAAAACCCCATAACAGTTTTTACAGGACAGCCTTATGTTCACATACTTCCTTTGATATTCGTATTGAACATGACAAGAGGTACAAACAGTCCAAAACGTGTCGAGTCTGCTATGAGAAGCTGAAGAATTGGCGCAATTGCCAACGTTGCCAACACCAGAAGCATGTACTGTAAATAAACTTCTCCTGTGATCGTACGAGCTTCTTTTAGCACCATTCGACAATACTTTCCATGCTTCAGAAACAAGCCTAAATGCGACATCAGCTCCAAATCTTTTATTTTTATCAGGATGGAGAAACACGGCCAGCTTTTTATATTGTTTCTTCAACATAGCCCTGTTTGAAGATGGATCTGAACCCAGTATCGCGTAAAAATCAAATTCTCCATTAACCTTCGTCGCTGCAGCACTATGAACCCCAAATGCGGCCACCATTTGTGATATGCCCCACTATATGAGGGCACAACATCTGAGCTTTTAAAGCATAGTTTTTGGCACCCAGAAAATCTCTCTCTGCATATTTCGTTTCAGCATTCGCTTTAGCTTTTAGCGCTTCCTCTATTCTTGCCATCTCAAAGTTCAGAACTTTAAGCCAATTTCCACCCAAGAAATCTATAGAAAGAAGTTACACTAACTTCCAGTTCTAGGAAACAACCGTTGGGAATAAAACCCCTACAGAAATAATATTCACAGTAATAAAAGCGGAATAATAACGTAGCGCCGAGATACGGTAATTAACAAGAATAAAAGAGTGACAACGACACCAAGATCTTTACGCAGAAAACTCTTTTGAATAAGGAAAAAAACCACGGGCCCGAGACGAGCAACTGATATCACTATAGTAAGGAATTTTACACTTTGTAGGTCCGAGTAAAATACTCCAAAGACCACTATAATACTCAAAAGAAATAACCCTCTTTTGATATTCCCACCTCACGACAATATCATTCTTTCTCTATTTATCTCATAGACTATTTTCTTATACATTGTTTGTGAAATCTCACTCTTTCTTTCTCTCTTTGTTGGTGTGTAGAAATGAGAGCTGAAGCTCTTCTTTTATAGCCGAAGCCTCACTCTCTAAAGCCTACTATATTTAACAATTTGCACACATTTTTCTTTCTTTTTTTTCAATATTGACAATTCAACAAAGTTGGCTATCTAACCAAAGAAATTCAACAAAGTTGACTACCAAACTAAAGAAATTCAACAAAGTTAGCCACAAAACCAAATTTTCTTAGGCACATGCCTATTACTTTGGCTTTTGAATGAGATGGACCACTTCACAACAGACCTTCAGGCAGAAAAATTGGTCTTTGAATTTGCTTTTCATCCGATTACCAAAGAGTACAAGGTGATCAAGATCGTAAATTATGCCATTTTGTATCATGATGACCCTTGGCTCCTTCCAATTAGTACTTCAGAAGTTCAAGTATTTACTCTTGGTGGCAATAGTTGGAGAAGCATAGGGGAAGCTAGTTACAAGATTAATGGTTCACAAGGATATATGTTAAACAGAAAGATGCATTGGTTGACTCGATTAGGAAGCTGCCATGGACGTCATGACAGGCTTATCGTTTCCTTTGATTTAGCTGAAGAGGTATTTGGTGAAGTACCAAAGGTTGATTTTAACCTCGACCTAAGAATTGGCAAGTTTCATCTTGCAGTTCTTCGAGGTTGTCTTGCTGTTTCTGTAACTTTGCCTCACCAAAATGGGGGAGGAACAGACATTTGGCTAATGAAAGAATACAATGTGAAAGAGTCATGGGTGAAGGAGTACATAATCGAGGCTTATACACCAACTCCAAATTCTGTCACTCAGCATTTGGTGAGAGTTGAAGAATGGAGAGCTCTTGCTTCAGTACGAAGGTGGCCTGGTGTTTTCATTAACATATAAGCTACGATTATCACTTTCAAAGGTTCATTTGTTCAATGTGCGGAGCAATACAACAACAATAACATTGTTGCTCAATCCCTCACTAGTTGAGTTGGTTGTATGAATCATCTGTATCTACTCTACTCTATTTCGGCATTGTTTCATGACACTATTGTGATGACCCGATAGGTCATCTTATGTTTTAAAACCTAATTCAGTGATCCGAAGCCTTAAAAATCTCATTTTACCCTCCTCGATTTGCGTGCGCAGTCCAGACGTGTTTCCGGAAAGTTTTTATGTTAAAAACTGTGAAAAATAAGAATTTTACCTTAAAAATTCATTTAAGTTGACTTCGGTCAACGTTTTGGGCAAACGGACCCGAATTCGTGTTTTGCCGGTCCCGGTGGGTCCGTATCGTAATTTGGTACCTGGGCGTATGCCCGAAATCGAATTCAAAGGTCCCTAGCTCGAGTTATTAATTTTTGTTAAAAAATTGAAAGTCTGAAAGTTTTATGGTTTTTAAGGATCGACCGGTGTTTGGATTTATTGATATCGGGTCCGTATTTTAGTTCCGGAGCCCGGTACAGGTCCACTATAATATTTATGACTTGTCCGTTGAATTTGGTGAGAAACATAGTTGATTTTACGTGATTCAGACGTTCGGTTGTGAAAATAGAAGTTTTAAAGTTTTCTTGAAAATTTCATTTGATTTGGTGTCCGATTCATAGTTCTAGGCGTTATTTTGGTGTTTTGATCGCTCGAGCGAGTTCGTATAATGTTTTAGGACTTGTGTGCATGTTCGGTTTGGATCCCCGAGGGCTCGGGTGAGTTTCGGATACGCTACGAGGTGAATTGGACTTAGAAAAATCTGATATTTTTGCTGCAGCTGGTTTTCTGGTGTGTTGTGCTTCGCGATCGCGAAGCCATTCTCGCAATCGCGAAGGGGATCTAAGTTGGTGGAGGATTTTACACTACGCGAACGCGAGACTATGGTTGCGAACGCGGAGCAATGGGGGGTTTGCTCTATGCGAACGCAACTCGTCACACGCGAACGCATAGCGTTTGCTAGGCTGGGCAGGAGACTTGAGGTTACACTACGCGAACGCGGGTCTTGTCTCGCGAACGCGGAGGTCAGGGGGGCTAAACCTTCGCGAATGCGTGTAGCCTCTCCCGATCGCGTAAGCCTAACAGGCACTGCTCTTCGCGAACGCGTCAGGATTCACGCGAACGCGGTGAATACCTGACGCCGAGTTACTCAAAACAGAATCAAAACGGGAGTTTTGCCATTTCCTTCAAATTTTCAAAACTAGAAGACCTAGAGACGATTTTCCTAAAAGATTTTCTTCACCAATTTGTTGGTAAGTGATTCTAACCTACTTTCTTTCAATTACCCATTACATTTCATGAGTTTTCAACCTAAAATTTAGGATTTTCATGGTGGAAATTGGGGGTTTGTATAGAATTAGGAATTTTTGTATAATTGGAATTTAGACCTCGAATTGAGGTCGGATTTCGAAATAAATTACATAATCGGGCTCGGGGGCGAATGGATAAGTGGATTTTGGTTAGAACCTCGGGTTTTGACCGAGCGGGCCCGGGGTCGATTTTTGACTTTTTGGGAAAAAGTTTGGGAAATCTAAATTTATGCATTTAATTGATTCCTTTAGAAATAATTGATATTATTGAGTCGTTTGTGGATATATACGAGTGGTTTGGAGTTGGATTCTAGAGGAAAAGCTGTGATTGAGCATTTAGTGGCCTTTGGAGCGAGGTAAGTGTTGTGTCTAACCTTGATTTGAGGGAATTAGGATCCCTCAGACTATTTGCTATGTGAATTTCATGCGAGCGGCGTATATGTGAGGTGACGAGTTCTTATGCGCCGTCGAATTATCTGTTTTCCCTGTTTCCCCGTTCTTCTTATATTATCTCTTTCCCTGTCTTAGTTGTTATATGCTCTAAATGTGTTTTCATGCCTAATTGTCACTTGTAGTCATTGTTTCCTCCTGTTTATGATATTAGTTCTTTCCATAGTTTATAATCTCCTACTATTTGCTCAAGTTGGTTTATCTGTACCTTGTAGTTATAAATTCTGGATTGGTCTCGCTCTGTAGTACTACTTATTCGGATTATCATATTGTACAAGGTTTACTATTTGTTCAGTTTGGTGTCTTGGAATTGTAAAGAGTTTTTCTATGATTTGAATTGTGAGTTTTACTGTGCTTATTGAGTACTTGATA